ATCACCAGTTTCTGTTGTCACTTCCACTACCACCTACATTGAATCATACAAAGCCACACTTTTCAGTCCAAGATTGATACATTAATGCTGAATTCACTGACTGCACTTACAGTCTGTGTGTGGTCGTCCTCAGCGAGTCTTAACGTTCAACTTGGCAGTGCGACCTAAAATGGGTGCAAAAGCTGTTTGTTCATCAATCGATGGCTGAAATCGCAGCACAGCAACAAGCGGTGAAGTAATTAATGACTAGTGATTGGTGTAGCGTACGTGAAACGAGAAATTTTAACTAAATCCTGCATGACTCAGAGGCTATATGATCATATCCTTTATGTAGGCAGCGAGGATTGTCAGGCTCAAAAGATTCTTCAAATTTTGCATTAGAATCAAAATAAAAAGAAATTTGAATTTGTTTGAAACTTATGAAGCTTGTACTGACGGTGGTCTGCAGAAAGATTGTTATCTGACAATCTATACTTTGACCATTTCACCTGTTCTGCCACCAATCAGTGCCTTTGCAACCAGGAGAACAAGCACCGCCAGACTCAATGGGAGCTCAACTACGCTGATGCAGCCATTTTTCAACAAGATACATCAACACAGCATTCAGATTGACGTCGAAGGAATTGTCGGTCTGTGTCTTGCTTAAAAAGTTGTACCACATGACTACGTCGTTCGAAAGAGTATAAAAGTGATTGAGTATGAGCGAACAGACTTCGTCGGGATTTTTGTTGGCCAGCGTAGCGCTTTGCCGTAAATTCTTTAAATATTCATAGGCTGCGTCAAGTGCTTTAAATTCGTCTGAATTTACACCTGCAATAAATGGCTTTCCAGTCCATGACTGGTAAAGAGCGCATAAAACACCCTGTACATCATCATTTGATTTCCAAACCTGTTGTAACAGCCGAGCCAATTTTGACTCGTCCTTTATTCGATCTCGTAGTACAGCCAGCAAATATAGACTGGGGTTGTCGCTCGAAAATTTCGCATACGCTATCATTTTCTCAAAACTGCTGCTTCTCATGAACTTTTCTTTGACAAGCAAGAATATTCTCGTTCCGGTCGGTTCATTTCTCCACTTTTCAAGCAGGCTGTTTAACAGCTTGTTGTACCGAGAATCAACCTGACATTTTCGCTGCTGTGCAATATGTTCAATAGTTTGGCCCACATGAGTTCATCTAGCGACATTTCTTCCAAAGTCTTCAGATCGATCGTCGATGTAGACAACGTTGTCTGAGATCTGACACAATCACTGGGTAACCTTTGGCCCTTTTTAATTTTAAAATCTTTTGAAAGAAGAATGTCGAACACTCTGGAAACTACACCTTTTAAGGAATTGTCTTGTTGGAGCTTATGCAGGAAACGGGCCCACATCATTTCATCATTCGAAAGCTCTAACAGTGTGTGAAGTATCGTATAGACTACCTGATCAGTTGGTTGGCGGGATTCGTGAACAGCTTCGGACCTTAGTATGGTATCATAAGCGCGGATGAGAATGCTATTCATTTCTGTAGTTGCAATCGATTTGAATGGATTTTCAACCCATGAGTGGAGAAGAGCGTCGAGAACACCGGAGGGATAATTTGAAAGTTGCAGGTTATATAATGCGCGAGCCCACATAACTTCATCTGTCGATCGCTTTCGCAAAACTTCTAGCACAACTTTGTCGGGGTTGTCGTTAATAAATCGCATGAACAAGGAATAGTCTAAGAAATTTGAGCTCGTCAGAACTTGTGTGCTTTCACTGAAAGAAATATGGTTGGTTTGTGCACCGAAATATGTCCATGTATCAATGAGAAAATGCAATACACCAGAGATTGCAGAGAGACTTTCTTCATATTGTAACGTGTGCAAAACTTTGGTCCACATGAGTTTATCGTCAGAGATATCAAGTAGCTTCTTCAGTCGAAATGCATGGGCATCGTTCTCGCTTACAATTGAGGGTTCGTACATCAAGGCAAAGTCTTGGTTCGCCAGATGCTTGAGAGCCTCGCTGGGCGTTCTAGCTTTGATATTATATGGCTGAAGAAGTTTGTCGAATACGTCAGGATAAAAAGTTATTGCACTTTTGTCGTCTCGCAGCATGTACATCAATTTTGCCCACATCAGTTCGTCCTGTGACAGCTTAAGTAATTCGTTTCTCATCGACATGCCGAATTCATTGCTGGGTATTGTCTTTGGAACAAGAACATTCAACAATTCTGGAGTCGTCAGAATCTTGACAGCATCAAAAGGTGTGACAACATCACCAGCTGTGTCGTATGTCTGGAGTAGAATGTTAAACAAACCTTTACAATGCAAAAAAAAATCATTTTCGTCACTCTGTAGCTTGTAAATAATGTCAGCCCACATGATTTTATTTTTTGATCGTTCTCGCAATATCTTCAACATTAGCTCAATAAAAACTTTTTCTCCTGAGATTCCGAAAGTATTCCAACCCACAAATTTAAATAACTGTTCATTTGTCAGATGAACGTTAGAAATTCCTAGAACTTGGTATAACTCACTCGTCGACAAGCTTAACCACAATTTCCTCTCCACAGCTGTAGCTAACTCGTAAGAGAGGTAATGAGCCTTCTTTCCGTTCGCAATAATGTCTGCTAGAATGAATTTGGTGCGATAATCAGTCTTCAAAGTATCAAGCAAAGCCGTGATCGCAGCTTTCTGACTCTTTGGAGACTTCGTCCCAAACCAAATTAGCAAGAAATCATCACGAAACAGCTCCTTTTTTAATGCAACCTTATCAAGTATGAGAGTAATCGCAACTGCATCCGTCTTAGAGGACAAACCTCTTAAAAAGTCTGAGCTAATTTTTATCAGATGCAGCTTATCAACCATTTCTTTGGAGATAAATGTATCTGCAAATGGATGAAACTCATGTCCAATCAATCCGGTCACAGTCGAAATAGGAAAGACTCGCTCCTCGACCAATGCGCGATTGCTATCCGCATATGAAGGCGTGTAAGTTTTCATGTGCTGAATAGGCACAGCAGCTATAGCATTGGATACAGCATTTTCCGCTGCGATAGTCTCAGGGATCATTAGCAGGGTAAGACCCCAAATTAAGGGTAGAACGCAGCTGTGCGAGGGGTTGACAACCATTACTTGAGAGGGGGGTGTACAAATTTTGTCACTTTCAAAAATAAGATCAAATTTTTTATGAATAAGAAATTTTCGTTGCATCCGGAAAGAAAATTAACCTGTCAATTATCATTATCGTTTTGAGCATATTTAAGAAACCTTGGAAAATAAATGTATTTTTTTAACAAGCAAAACGCCGCCCGTCTTGGTGCATAGTTTTACCTACTGTTCCAGTTTGCTCGATTATCAAGTATGGCTAGTGTTATCTTATTGTCATTCTTTTCCCTATTTAGTAATATAACTGACGAAATGAATAAGAAGAAAGATACATACGTGTGAGAATTCACTGAATCTATTGACTGTCAATGACCATTTTTTTCAAGTTTCGAGATATAGGTTTATCTGAAAAATGGTTGAGGCTCGTGAAGGCAAAATGAAAGCAGAATAGACATCAGTTTGAGTCATAGCTGAAGCTGTAACGGGGTTTCACGTACCCTTGTCCGTACTCGTGTACCCGCTATGCGGACAATTCCTGTCAAAGGTGTACTATGATACACAAGTTGAAATGCATATTACTATATTAATTAGGTTTTCCTATATTAAATAGGTATTACTATATTATTTAGAAAACATAAGGGTTTAAGATATTGGCAACTAAAACAATTACTGTATAATACAGTATCAATTTTTAATGAAAGAGCAACTTACTTTTAGTACTTGGACGTAGCGGATCGCGATCCGCTACACTTGAAATGGTTCTTGAAAAGAACGTAAGGTCGGCGACCTTAGCTTAGCTTCCTCTAAGCAAAGTACTACGGCAGCCCCGCTGCACTTGGTAGCACTCCTAGTCAATCTACGCCTGAGTCGTTACGACTGGTCCTCGGTGAGGATGGATGACTACTCCTTTTTGCCCCAGGGCATGCAGGTCGGGCTTAAAAGCTGATGTCCCTGCTTGGCCCTGAGGGCGTGGAGCTCCTGACGGATTTTTACGAATAGTGATCGATCTTTTATTTATTAGTAGCCTCAAGAAATCGATCACTTTTGACAGGAGGTCTTCAATTCGTAATGGGCTACT